GAGAGAGAAGAGAGAGAGAAAGTGAGAGAGAAGAGAGAGAAAGTGAGAGAGAAGAGAAAGAGAAAGAGAGAGAGCGAGGCGAAGAAAGACAGCGAGACAGAGAGAGAGATAGAGAGCGCGCGTGCGAGAGGAAGCAAGAGTGGGAAAGTGAAAGATGGAGAGAGGAGGGAAAGAGAAGCGGGACAAAAAGTGTGTGTGAGGGGGTGGGGTACGTACACAGAATACGAATTGAATAATCTATATATATATATATATATATGTGTGTGTGTGTGTGAGGCTCACACCGAGAAATGTCACTAATTATCCGATACGCACGGGAAATGCGTTTCAGCGCGCTCACAATAACCCGCGCCAACTTCAAACGAACGCATCTCTGCGTGCGACAGCAGTCAGTCAGAGCTGGCATATTACAGCCTCGCACCCACACTCTCTCGGGACCCTTTCAGACGCCGCATCACACGGTTGTGCAAACCACTGCGGGAAATTACCAATATCATCTCCGCGCTCTCACATAAATAGAACCGCCGTGATAGGCATTAGCTGCTGTAACCCCTGACGACATTGATAACGAGGTACCGACCTCTGACGACCTTAATAACTAGGTTCCGACCTCTGACGACATTGATAACGAGGTACCGACCTCTGACGACCTTAATAACTANAGAGAGAGAGAGAGAGAGAGAGAGAGAGAGAGAGAGAGAGAGAGAGAGAGAGAGAGAGAGAGAGAGCGAGAGAGACACATGTAATTACATGATACTACCGAGTCATGGATGAACATTGAAACCGAGTCACTGGCTAGGCGCGATAATAGGGGCGTGCTATTTGGCTTGCCACCGTGTCTGCTTATTTGCCACCTATGACGCACGGCCGAGCGAAAGAGGAGACCGGCAGAGATTGCGGCAGAATGAAAATAGCAATGAAAAGAAGGAAGGGATAGCGTGTGTGTGAGAGAGAGAGAGAGAGCGGGAGAGCGAGAGAGAGAGCGAGAGAGAAAACAGTGTGTGTGTGTGAGAGAGAGAGAGGCGGAGAGAACGAGAGAGACGAGGGAAACGAAGTGAGCGAGAAAGAGAGAGAGAG